TAGGCATCAGAGCTAACAGGGGTCGAGGAAGTTTACCCAGCTTGTGGTCTCACCTCTAGTGCAGATAAGGACTTTGGCTTGGAAGACCCTGCACGGGTCTGATAAAGCTCTTGGGGCACCAGTGCTTTGTGGGATCATTAGAACCAAGAGAGGAAGCTGTTCCCCAGCAGCCCCTTCCAAAAAGCTGGGGCACTGCCCAGCTTCAGAAGTAGACCCTCTAGCGATGGCTGCCATATCCTAACCCATTAATAACCAGTTGCCTGCAGATTTATCTTTTTTGTCAGTTCCTTCTGTCTGTCTCTCTTTTTCTTTGTCTTCTTGTCTTAGGATGGTTGAAGATGTGATGTCTGTGTGTTCTCTGTTGTAAGTAAATTTAATGCAATCTGCCTCTTATGCCCAATGTGCTTGTTTTTCTGCCTTTTGTTTCTGCTTCCAAGCTCTTTTTAATTTCCCCTCTATGGCTGCTACTGATGTATTTCTGTGGTGGGCCTGGGAATGATGTGGCATGGGGCTCCCCAGTAGCCAAGGTTACTTTTCTGTTTCATAGTGATTCGCCTAAGAGACTGCTTGGCTGTGAAAATGTGACCATCCAGCATCTGCCTGCTTGTCAGGAATGGAACTTTTTTCCCTCCCTTGCATATTGGATGTCTTCATCTGAAATCATAAAAATTTTTTTTTAAACAACTCTTCATTGCATTCTTTCATTTTAAATTGGGCTAGTGGGCGATTGCTTTCAACACTCCTGTGACTTCGCATTAAAATAAACTGCCGGTCTAACCACAGGCAGTGACGGCCATGGCTTTTCCTGCTAACATGTAAAGCAGAAATGTTTGGGCCGTTCCAAATTGAGGCCTGCAGAGCACCCTGAAAAGCAGGGTCAGCGCAGAGTGGAGCACACGGCTGAGAGCCATCGCCAGGCTGCCCCGGGCCTGCATCCTCAGTCACCCAGGACCTGGCTGGGTATTGGCATGCCTCATCTGTCATCTGTGGGTCACCCTGCCACCTGTCAGTAGAAACAGAGCTGACCATTTCTGTGCCTCTGCTGCTTTGCCTCCCCTGGCCAGGAGGGATCTGTGGGCAGCTCTGGGGAGTCCATGGGCGTACACCTTCTCCCTGTCCTTACAAGGGAAGCTGGCCTCGTCCCAGGTGGCCAGCAGTCCCAGGATAGGGTGGAGTCTGTCAGGCTCTCTTCTGCCCAAGGGATTTCTTCAGTCTTTTTGAGCCACTCAGCAACTATAAACTATATGGTTATATATTTATATGCATGAATAAATATATGCTTCAAGCTGTGGTTGTACTGTTTTAATGGCAAATGTTATCAATGCTGTAAATAGCCATTTATAGTATTTTTTTTCATGATTAAATGCCATTGTTGGAGTGATTTGAGAGAACACAAGGAAGGAACTTGAATGCCAAATTGCTCTGCCCACCCAGTTAATGTCGAAGGGGAGGGGGTGGGATCTAAGGAGAGGGACCACCCCTCAGAGCCTTTACTTTACTGGTAGTGGGGCCATACCAGGGAGGGGCTGGGGACAGGGGGCAGGGGCCAGTCTGCAGGGTGGAAAAAGACCCCATTCTGACGTCTGCACGATGGATTGAGTGGAACTGCTCAGGCTACAGTCACCCCTTCCTCCTGGGATCTGCTTCCTTGAGCCTTCAGGAGTCTAATCTGGTGTTTCGTTTGCCTCACAGCCCCCCATTCATATGAAGGAGAAAGAAAGGGAGAAAAGAGCTGCGAGTCTTGTCTGTTCACCATGGTTAGGAAAAGACATAAAAGAATCACCTCTCCCAGCCCCACCTTTAGTCAGGATTCCACCTAGACGCCTTCAGAGCACGGGAATCCATTGAGCTCAAAGATCCTGTGATCGGGAGGATTCAGCAGGTTCTCCCTGAGGACCCTGAACTTTCTATTTCTCTGTGGACCCCTTCAGTTGTTTGTTAAGTGAGGTGTTGCCTTGCCCGTCTGTAAATTGGTGTCCTGATCCTAGAGCCCCTCCCCCAACCTTATTTGGGTTGACATTCCTGGAAGACTCCAGATAAATTAATCTGCTCACCAAAAATTTGCTTCATAAAATAAAAACATTTAGTTAAATTTATCTTCATTTTCTGGGTCAGTTCTCCAAAATGGCATCTCTTTAAAGATTTCCGGATTGATGGATCTTTCCCTTGGGGGCAAAAATAACAGCTGTTAAAAAGTGAGAATGGGTAGTGGCCGTCTTCTCGCTGGTGCTGGAGTGGCGGCGGTGGGAGGGTGGCCTGGGCCAGATGGCTCCGCAGAGGCAGTAGCTTTGGTCCGCTCTGTACTGCTCTGGAGTGTCCCGTTCCTCTGCTTGTTGTGTTTACATTTTCCATTTTGTTTCCAGTGACACATTTAGGGTGAAAAAGTCGCCAAAACGGTCTCCTCTCTCTGATCCACCTTCCCAGGTACAGTGTTCTTTGATCATGACGGTTTTATGTGCCCCCCCGCCGATGGTTTTCCTTTCTTGTTGACAAAGCTTTGCTTTCCACTCATCCCGGGCATGCTTCCAAGATCATGTTTCCAAGACCCTCTTCTTGCCTCCTATGTGGAGGGTCCCTCGCATTTGCAAGACGTGTTGATCTCTTCACTTTGCGGAAGATCATAGTGTGTCCTGAGAGTGGGAAGACATTCAGTAAAAATGTTAGTTGGGCTCTAGAGGACCCGTTCTCCATTCAGGCCAGTTCATCTGCTGTGAACTTCTAGTACTGTCGAGTGGAGAAAGACTCTTGAGATGAATGAATACGCAGTGAGAAGGTAAAAAAAAAAACTCAGCATGAGTCAGGAGCACTGCATTGTGCAGCTAAATTGGAGTGGGAAGAAAAGGGAACTCCACCCCAAAGAAGTGGGGCTTGGGTTCTTTCTTTATTAGAGTCCCTCTCACCAGTTCCTCCATTAGATGTATTCCATTTCTTCTACGCTGTTTCCAGACCAAGAAAGATTATCCTCAAGCCTGTCAGTCATACATCTAGGGCTAATTTCTGGGTCATAGAACAAGCAAACCTCCCACCCCTCCAAGTCTGAGCCAGCAAAGCCCCAGCCTGCAGACCCTGGCCAGGGTGGGGGCAGTGGAGGGAAGCACTCAGCCCTGGGGATGGGGGCAGGTCCTCACTGAAGCTCCACCCTGACCTATTCCACGTCACACTCTCCAATGGAAATGGAGATATGATCCCCCTTTTCTGCCTCCAGTGACTAGTGTGATGAGTGTCAGGTGACTCTGGTGATATTGATGTGCAGGCCCGAAGCCCTGTCTGAGCATCGCACAGTAATCGGTCATAAAACTAGCAGGAATGCTCAAGTAACTAAGATATAAAATCCTGATTTAAAAAAAAAAAAAATCATGGTTACTCCCTGAAACAAACCATCACAAAAGGAGATTCATAGAGGGAAGAATCTGTATGTCCATCTCCTTCCTTAATGGACTATTTGGAGCAGAGTTGGAGAAGAGCGTGCGGAGGATCGTGACCAGGACCTGTCCTGACTTACGGGGCCCCAGAACTGTGGGTGGAAGCAGTTTCTGACCAAGAGTCTGATGAGACAAGAAACTGCTTCTCTTCTCTTTGCAGGACTCCACCCCAGCTGCTACACCAGAAACGCCACCGGTGATCTCTGCAGTGGTCCACGCCACAGATGAGGAAAAGCTGGCGGTCACCAACCAGAAGTGGACATGCATGACGGTGGACCTGGAGGCTGACAAGCAGGACTACCCGCAGCCCTCGGACCTGTCCACCTTTGTAAACGAGACCAAATTCAGTTCCCCCACTGAGGGTAAGCAACCCTGTGGCCAGCCGGACCCCAACTCTGCCTCGGAGAATACTGGCCCTAGGGAGCCCGAGGCCAGGAGAGAAACTTCTCAGCCAGGTAACCATGGGATCATTATGTGAGAGCATCTGGACATCTCCTGCTGCACTCGAAGCTCAGGCTGCATTTGAAAACAGCCTGAGACTTGAAACCAGCTGTCCCTTGACCCATGACTCCTGCTAAGAGCTGGCACGGTGCCCTCTGATTCCACCTCAGGACTTATCAAGCGGGTCCTGAGCACCCACTTGAGCTTTGCCTGTGGCTTACGTCCCCTCTGTGATTTTGATAAACAGCTCCAAGGGAGTGTCATTCAAGTCAAACTCTCAGTGTAGGTCACTGACCTGGAGTCGCTGGGTGCCACCATTATTCCCAGGTCCCATACGGTGTTCAGACACTATGGCCACACCTTTTAATCAAACCTCAAACCAGAGACTCACCCTAGGCTTGCTAAGAGGACCGATTCCCTCCTTAGAAATGGGCTCCACACACTGCTTATTCCATTAATATCCTCCTTCCTTCTGTGTGTATTCAGTTTCAGTGTTCTTTTTTTTT